GACCCAGAGATGGCTTCTTTCTTACTCAACAGGTAAGATATTTTATTTAACCAACAGATTGCAATAGCTCTCCAACAGTAGTGGGAGTTCATTATATAGTGTTAGCTATTCTAAGGGGTCATTTCGTTATGATTTGCTCTAGCGCATGTTGTTCTAGTTATTTTCAATGATGGACCGTGTAAATTATCAACCTATTGGTTAGCCAAATTAACAACGTTCAGCTGTCAAATTTGTGACCCTTTTAGTCTAGACAGGTTATTTCTTGAGCCTGTGTTTTGGTTGCGTTTCTTCCACAGAGGCTCATCTGACTTGTAAAGTTTTGTAATGTCATCGTAGCAAAGCACAACCAAAACGTTCTTCTGCAAGGCGCATGCAGTTTTATTTACTAGCCGCCAGCTTCAAATTAAGCTTTGACAAATGCTATATTTTTTTCAGAACAGTATGCAGAAAATGATCATGATTTCTGGAGGATATCACTGAATAATTGTCCCAAAATATCACGCTGATCTTTTTGACAGTAATATTACTAATCAGCTGCGGTTCAGATTTAGATTAGCCAGTCAGAATGCGGTCTTTTACCGGGCTTTTTTTTTTTTTTGCCCGTCAGTTTGTATACGCATTTATAGCTGGAAAATGAGAGTGTGATCGATGATGAATTTGGAGCGTTTATAACGAAAATTGTGACATTACCAGCTCACACAGTCAAATGTCCTAAAAGAGATAAAGAAGACATTTTATGAGAAAATGAAAGAGACCAGAATTGACTAAAAAAAGAAACAAGACATTAATGAACAGCGGTGAGGCTTTTCATCACCTGGAGGGATCTTAGAGCATCAAAACGCTTGATACTCAGTTTGCTTTGCTCTTGACAGGTAAACCAAAGGTACCGTTGTTACCTTTGGTTTGTAATTCGGTTTCTACGCGCAAGTTCTACAACTAACAAATAGGCCTATTAAAGCACCTTTAAATATTTCAAGTTCAAGCACTTATGGGTCAGCAGATTTATGTGTGTAATGAATTAATGGCTCATTTTATGTCAAAACAGACACTTAGCCATTAAAATTGTAGTTTAAATTATTTTTGGCCATTTTTGTTATTGTGCAATCCTGTTTTGTCATTAAAAAAATTAATATCAATTCGATCAGATGAGAAAAAGTAATTATTTACATTCAGTTTTGGAGGTGGGGGTTTAGTAAATGGCCAGCCCAGCCTGTTTTAGTTAAATGCTCATACTTTCCACTGGAGCTGGAACCAGATATAGGCTAGTTCCTGCTGATGATTCAGTGCTGCATGCCATGCACACAACGGACAGAGCGAAGGAAAGACCTAACTACTTCAACACAACATGAGCTACCTACAGAAAACTTAAGGACTTCTTTTGCTGTCTGCATTTGTTTGTACATATTTGTAAAACTTTGTGGCTGTTCAGCGAGACCATTTGTACCTCATTGCAATGGAATGTAAGTCTTTCCGTTTCTAAATGGTTTTTAGGTTCTAATTCGGGTGTCATGCTGAGACTTGCCCAGAGGGTCTTTGTTCAAAGAACTTTTCTGCATGAAATCGGTCTTTGAATGTGTATCTCATAATATTCTGATTTGTACACATGCATATTTTTTGTGCCTACGTTTCTCTAGTTTTTAGAGTCTGTTCCTGCTTTTCTGTATGATGGTGTCAGATAACAAAAGAGGACTCTTTAATCTTCTGTCTTTGTCAGTTTTTTAGGTTTACTTTACAGAGACTCTCATAAAGACTGTTTAACCTGCGTTATTTCACATTGAGAAAATCAGGACAAGATGGCTGCACTCATCTCAGAAAACTTCAAATTCGGTGCGCTCTTCTTCAAGAGTAAGGATGTCATGATCTTCAATGGCCTGATAGGTTTAGGGACAGTAGCCAGTCAGACAGTATACAATATTTTTGCATTTCACTGTCCATGTTCACCAAAGAAGAATTACTTGTACGGACTGACTGCCATTGGTGTACCAGCCCTGGCTTTCGTTGTCATCGGAATGATGCTGAATCAAAATACTTGGGACATTGTGTCAGAGTGCCGCACCAGAAAATGTCGGAAATTATCACTGTCTGCTGCTTTTGCTCTGTTGGGCTCTATTTTGGGGAGAGCAGTTGTTGCCCCCATCACTTGGTCAGTTATTTCCCTCCTGAGAGGGGAGGCGTATGTCTGTGCTTTCAGTGAGTTTGTAGACCCCTCTTCTTTGGATCATTTCCCTCCTACTACAAAGACTCCAGAGATCATGGCCCGGTTTCCGTGTAAGGATGTACCTGCTCCATTTATGAACTACTCAAGAGTGATTGAACGCCAGCTAAAATATGAATCCCAGGTATTTATCACTTTAGTTTAATTTTGTTATAGTCTTTAATTAAATATACACTTCTAATTTCATTGGGCATTTACTCAAATCTCTGAAATGTATAACCTCTTTTTTTCTTCTTTTACAGTAAATAATACAGTAAATAATGCACAAATCTGTACATAAATCTTCTGTTCCAGATGTATACCACATTATTATTATGATCATTATTTAAATGTTCTTTCTGTTGTCATCATCATCATCATTATTATTATTATTATTATTTAAAAGTTCTTTCTGTTGTCAATGTCATATATGTATGTATATATGTTTGTACTAAGAGCTCCTAAAAAAACACAACAAATTGTGAATAAAGTTCATTCTGATTCTGATTCTGATTCTGATTTTCTTCATCTAGTTGTTGGGCTGGTTGCTGGTGGGAATCATCTCCCTCGCTGTCTTTCTGCTCCTCTGTCTGAAACACTGCTGCTCTTCTCTTGGCTATCAGCAGGAGGCGTACTGGTCCCAGTATCGTTCCAGCGAACAAACTCTTTTCCAGCGTACAGCTGATGTACATGCTAAATACCATGCTGCTGAATGTGTCAAGAACTTCTTTGGCTTTGTGGCCTTGGAAGATGAGGAGAAGCAGCTTCTAGAAGACTGCAAGGGAATCAAGAGTGTCATTACCAGAATGGAGTGGAACCGCGTCACAGGGGTTTACATGTACAGAGAGATTGATGACACTCCCATCTACAGCCGCTTAAACAAATGGGACATGTATACAAAGGAGAACAACTGTTAGGCAAATGGAAAACATTTGATATATTCTGAATTTTTCATTTATTATATTTTTTATTGTTTGTTGTTGTTGTTCCTTCATGGTAAGCATGCTTGAGTGTTATGTTGATATTTGTCACTGAAGTCTGTAATTCAGATTGTTCGGTTACTTTCTTTCTTTCTTTGTAGAGAGGTGATTGGCAGCTCAAATTGTAATATTTTGATAACACACAATGAACTATTTAGCATCTCTTTTAAGAGACATGATGTACTCTCAGGTTGAGATGGCCTCTTGTTATACTTTGCAAAGCAATAAAGTGTATCTGACAAATTAGTGTCTAATGAATTAATAATAATGCCCGCTACTACATATTTGGTATAATACATTGAAAAGTATGCTTTTCCATAAAGATGGGAAGAATTGTTTAAATGATGTTATTAACTACTACTGACATGTAATTTATGTCATTTAAGAGAGTTAGCAGATGTTCTTATGCAGAATGACCTACAAAACTGCATTAGCAGGGAGTTGTTGGCATTGAGAAAATTATCGCCCCTCCTGGTACTCTATTGGTAACTTCACCTTCATACATGCGTGTAATTTTCACGCCTAGAGGAGGCAAAGCGTGACACTTACACGCATACTCGAGTGGACCAGCGTACCCTGGTGCCATTTTGGAGAGTATCCACTGAACGTAAACAGCGTATGCTATTCTGTGCCGTACCATGGGTGCAGCAGGCGCAATGATATTACGCAGCGCCTGAAAATAGTCCCCAGCACGCTCCCTGTGCAAGCAGGTGGTCATGTTGGTTATGTTGACGGAAGTTAGCCTATTTTCAGGCGCTGTGTAATATAATTGCGCCTGCTGCACCCATACTATGGCAGCAAAGTTCCTTGATTATTACGCCGGAATGAGAGTATAGTTCCAAGCCATATCGGCCTAGAAAATCGCAACTTTTCATTTTCCGTCGGTCTTAGTACACGATGTAACTACAGAAGAGTCAAGTTTTAAATTGGAAAAATATAGAAACTCTTTGGTCATTTTTAAGCGAGATGCTAACGGTCTAATCAGATTCAATGATCTATGCTAAGCTACAGCTAAAAGTGCTACCGCCAGACCCGGAGATTGGCTGAATGGATTCGAAAACGGTAAAACTCAACTGTTTAACTCTAGGGGAGTTGGAAAATGAGCCTATTTTCAAAAATAGTGGAGTGTTCCTTTAAAGAAATGCTTCCTGTACAAATTCAAATAAGTGCTTCTAGTAATCCAGCTCAACCTAGATCCAGCCTACATTCTTAAAAATAAAGGTTCTTTATTGGCATCTATGGTTCCATTAACATTTCATTGCAAATTAGGTTCTTTGTAGTGGAAAAAAATTCTTTAGATTAAAATGTTATTCACGCCATAACAAAATGTTTCTATTAAGAACTGTTCACTGAAATTGTGGGAGCTGGGAGGGTATGTTTTGAACTTGAATTAAGCAGGGATAGGAAGCCATGGAGGGGATGCAGCAGAGATGTGACATGGGAGTACTTGGGAAGGTTGAATATCAGCCGGTCTGCAGCATTCTGCATGAGCTGCAGAGGTTTGATTGCACACACTGGGAGGTTGGCCAGTAGACAGTTGCAGGAGCTGAGACGATAGCAGTTTGGGGCCTATAAGTACCGCCGCTCCCTATACGCAGAGTAGGCTACACAGTTTGCGTATAGGCACCAACTCCCAGGGGTGCACCCACCATCCCAGTTGCTCAAAAAAAATAATACTTTCGTTCTATATTAATATTAATATATGAATATACATAAATACAAATATAAACATGAATATATATACATAATTAGGTTATAAAAAATGCATTTTACGGTGAAAGCAGTAGGCAGTAGGCTATGCACACGTGACGCGCCATTCCCGCATCCGCGCCCGCCCTCTCCTCATGTTTGCGGCTGACTGCAAATGATCAATGATCATAATGGACAACTATGCCCGGAAAAAAAGACATCAGCAGTCCGGCGCAGAGAAAAGAAAAAGTCAAAAAGCCCAAGATGAAGCCCGTGCATCCCTTTCAGGTAGTTACGTTCATAATCCTGTGAAACTTTTTTGGCTATTGACGTTATTTTTATTTGGCTGTTAACGTTTATTAACGTTAATCCATGTTTTAATTATCATATGATGAGCTCATTGACGACTTCGCCTCCAGAAAAAGCAGGAGTGTGCCTTTATAAATTTTGAAATTTGGAATGCTCCAGCAGATCCGTGTTGATTTTCGAAGTGTCTATTTACACTACGTGCAATAGCCCACCTTGCTGGCAGAAGCTATTTACACTAACTCCGCCCACCTACGTTTGATTGGGCTAGTCAACACAGCAAAAGACTATCAGCAAACTACAGCTGGAGATAGTAAAGCGTGTGCTGTGGACGATTTGACGCGATCGACCCGAGTTCGAATTTGCCTTTTGCCGAACTTTTTTTTCTCCCTTTTCAAATCTCGTATCGCATCGGAAAGGCATTTATATTCAATAAAAATGAAGGAAATAATAGAAAAGTTGAAAATAAAGTATCGGGTAGGGTTAGGGTATGTGTAGGGAGGGCTTTATTGTCCCAATAAGATTTTTGATTCAATTTATTATTGTTTATTTTGATAATATTTAATCTTTTAAAAATTTTTATTTAATGTGTGTAATTTTATTTATTTTTATTAATTTTTTTGCTGTAGAGCTACAATTGTAATTTGTAAATAATACAATTTAATTACAATTTATTTATTTATTTACTTTTATGTTTTATTAAAGTTCTATTTTGACCCCTATAGTAGGTGTTTTTTTTATTTCCATAATATTTGGTGGAGGGGGCACAACATTACAATTCTGCTTAGGGCACCCATTTGGCCAGCAGCGGCCCTGCCTATACCACAGTCTGGCAAATGTTTTGCAGGAGGAACCTGCATGATATCACTGTTGTTAGTATGTAGTTTGCAGATGATAGCTCATTGTCCAGTGTGACACCAAGGTCCTTGGCTTTCTGTGTGGGTGGGATTGTCGAGTTGTCTATTAAAATGACAAGGTCTTGGTAAGGGTGTATCTTGGATTGAAGGAACAACAGCTTGTTTTTTTTAATTTTTTTATTTCAGCTTCAGATGATGGGCATTCATCCAGGCAGAGATGATTGCCAAGCATGCAGTGATTTGTGAGGGTATCTGATTGTCAGAGGGTAGGAAAAGAGAGGATCAATAGAGTATTGTTTAAATAAAATTGTCAGTTTAACAGAAGCCATTAGAAGTGATCACATGGTAATTGATTTAGTGTACAGGGAAAATACTGATCCTTGCTCAGTGGGATTGTTGATGAGGTGAAGTGAATCCTTTCATAATATCTGATCATGGGCCCACTGAAGCTGAGAAAGATTTGGTGGTTCACAGTTGCTGGGTTTACATCCAGTGCATTGGAAGCAAATTTACCAATTAAATTCTTAAATGTGCATCAAAAAGCTCACGTGCCTGCATAATTTGCTCAGAGAAAAACATTTTTTTTTTATTTTATTTTCATATATTTCAGAAATATTCCTGGCTCAATTTAGTCAAAGTTAGATAACCAGAAGATGTAAACAATATTTCTTTTAACAATATATATATATATTTTAATTGCTTATTGCTTTTCTGTGTAAAGTTATATCACAGAAGCCATTAGAAGTGATCACATGGTAATTGATTTAGTGTACAGGGAAAATACTGATCCTTGCTCAGTGGGATTGTTGATGAGGTGAAGTGAATCCTTTCATAATATCTGATCATGGGCCCACTGAAGCTGAGAAAGATTTGGTGGTTCACAGTTGCTGGGTTTACATCCAGTGCATTGGAAGCAAATTTACCAATTAAATTCTTAAATGTGCATCAAAAAGCTCACGTGCCTGCATAATTTGCTCAGAGAAAAACATTTTTTTTGATTTTATTTTCATATATTTCAGATATATTCCTGGCTCAATTTAGTCAAAGTTAGATAACCAGAAGATGTAAACAATATTTCTTTTAACAATATATATATATATTTTAATTGCTTATTGCTTTTCTGTGTAAAGTTATATCAGTTTTTGCAACTTTATTGGCATGACAATGCATTGCCATAAACAAAAATAATTTAACCACCTTTAAGCACAAATAATACTCAAAACCAAAGAATTTCTAAGAAGAATTGAGTTTATTCTAATTCTAATTAAAGTAGTTTCATAAAGTTATAAGCTCCACATTTCTTTTAAATCATCCCAAAAATTTGCCCCAATTCACTTTAATTGTGAAAAAAGTGTTGAAAGTGTCTCAACTATTTTTTATTTTTTTTTACATTTTTATTAAAGACAACAAGGCCAAACATTTTTGTCAGTCAACATTATGCCACAAATGCTATCGATTGAGCTTATCTTGACATCTGCAAGGGGTTTTAGCAAAAGCACCTTTTACATAATACACTGATATTGCGCAACATGAATCAGCAGTTGCATATTTCCTGTCTGAACATGAATTAAAAACACTCACTAAACCTGTTAACTAAAACTGTCTAATTAGCTGTGTTTTGTTTGTTTGTTTGTTTATTTATTTATTTATTTTTTCAGTGACGAAATTACTGGCGTCATTGCTTCTGTCACATGCTCTTTTTTCATTTTTTGGCTTTACGGTAAGGTTGCTCTCAGAGTATCCTTAGATTCTATTCTATTTTTTTTCCTCTTGCTTCACACTCTCACTGTTTTCCCTCTGTAGTCTCTTGCTGTTTTCGTGACTGCCAGTCAAGCAAAGTGAATCAACCCTCATTCCCCTCCCAGCCTTGTCTTACACAGACTCATCAGGGAGAGTCTGACTCGGCCTGCCTGTCTGCTCGCCTGGCCACTGTCACCTCCTAATAGCCTTCAGCTGGAGAGAAGTAGGATGAAGAGAGTGAGCACAGGATAGAAAGGGAGAAGGGGAGTGCGAGGAGGGGGCGGGTGAAAGGAGAGCTGTGATCCAGACAGCGAATCACATGAGCAGAGATCTGTTTACAAACTGAGCAGGGGAGAAGTCATCGGCACCATTACGGGGAGGCAGGGCTGCTGGAAAAGGTGAAAGGAAACACACAGGAATCTCATCACTTTGTCTGGAAAATGCATTTTATCCTTTGTGTCTTTGCAGCGGAGAAGCCAGACCAGATGGTGTGAGGAAGACACAGCTTTGAATGGGCTGCATTCACAAGCTCTCGCTCTGACGGCTGTTTGCCACCGCTCTTCCTCTTCCTTTGTTACCGAGGAAAACGCTTGATTGTAACGTGAGGGCGATAATCTTGAGCGAGAAGACTAGAGGAAAGTGGCTGGCGGCAAGAAGGGGTGAGCCTTGTGACAGTGTTTTGAAGATAGACAAAGAAATCTGTGACTCTCTGTAATGTACATTTTCTCTCTCGCTGGTTTGTTATCGTGACTCTACAGAGAGGTAAAAAAAAATGAAAAAAAGCCAGTGACAACAACTTCACGTCAAGCGGAGGTAGATGGTGATCCATTGTTTATGTCAACGACACATTGCAAATCTTTCATATTCTGTGCTGCTGCTTGGTTTTGGATCATGATGCTGGAAAAAAAGAGTGCTTGGTGTTCTTTTAACTTGCCTGTGGTTGAACAAAACATAGATACCAAGAAGTAGGTGTTGATATTTTGTTCCCGTGTTGACACAGGTTTCAACAATGACTGACTTGTCTTTGTAAATATTTCAACACAAAGAAAACAAAATCGTCCTGCCTTCCTTCATACACTAGTGAGGAGCTGGTGAGTGATCATAATGTGTTAACCAGAGGCGCTGAAGATTCAAAGCCTTGTTTTTGTGGTAGGAGTTTTGGGAGTGTAAAACTTGTATTATTCATCTGGTTTTGAGTGAGGGGATCGGCCCACTTCTTTGGCCCGGTTTCAACACTGTCTCCTTGGACACAAGTTACTGGATAATTTTTTATAGCGGAGCAATCTAGCACCTCTCCAGTGGTGTAACGGTGAGTATGAATCATAACCCCCTCCTCCTCCTCCTCCTCCTCTTCCCTTCATTTCTAGTGGCTACATAATATGGACAGCTTTCTAACCATGTGTTATTCACAGAGCCCCGACCCTCCCACTGGCTTTCTATCAATGTTTAACTAAAATCCTCCTTATATTACTACCACCCCCTCCTTCACCCGAAAACCCAAGCCTTTTTACCTTTCTCCTGATTGGCACACTCTCTTCCAAGACCTGAACTTGTGTGCAACCTAGAGAGACACACTTTGTGTCTGTATCTATTGTGTGAGACACAATATTGCGTGGTCGTTTGGCACCATTCGACCCCAAGGTCAGTTATTATTTTTTCCCCCCAAATGGTGCTTCCTGCCTGGGTTGGTGAGACCTTTACATCTCTTGCCTCCCCTCAACCCCGCACAGACAGACCAGATGGTGGCTTTATGACAGAAAGGGTGCACCACTAGTGTTTGTCTTTCTGCACTGACAATTGGCCAAGCTTCACTCTCATTGCCAAACGCTCTCTTGCTCTCTCTTTTGAAAATGCAAATCTCTATACAGTAAGGAAATTAATCACTTAATGGTTGAATAATAAGATATTATCCATTACTTGCATTTAAAAGGCTTGAAATTCTGAAACAGTATTTATAACTCTAAATACTGTTTAAATCACTGTTAACCTGTTTATTTAGTACATTTTCACTCATTAGGAACTACTGGCCCTCAAACAGCAGTTATTTCTGTTTTCTGAAGCATTTGAAAATTGTAGTTGGTTGATATAGTTAAATATTATGGTCTTTTAACCTTTTTTTAAACCCTACTTTCAAAAACGAGCGCTGACATCTTTATGAGTAACTGCAGACTGTACTAAAATAAATAAAATTTTAATTTATAAAAGCATACTTAAGAGCAGTTGTTATAAAGAGCTTTATATATATATATATGAAGAGTTTGGTTCCAAAACGCTATAAATCCATTTTTGATTAATTTGAGTAAAAATATGTTTTCTTTACCAAGAAAGTGGCAAGATGAAAACCACTATTTTCTGTTTCAAACTTTCACATAGCATCTTTAGGTTATAATAACATAAAAAATTCAAATCCAGATATTGATTTTCAAAGATTTATTATAACATTTTATTATTTTTACCCCAAAATTCAATAAATCCATGACACTTTTTTTTCTTCAAAATGCAATAAATCCATTGAATCAAAGTAAAAGTTGTTTTTCATATGTTGAAACTGTTGAAAATACACAACATAGTAAGTTGATCCACATATGACAGCCTCATATACATATATACTAAAAATACATTCAATCAGTCATCTCTCCCAAAATGAATTCAACGGGTAATCTTGTTATGCTATAAATTAATTACAACAATAAAAGAAAATTTCATCATGAACATACATGAACAACAATATCACATTAAACCACAAAAATTCCAATATGACTTTTCCCTTACATTCAATTTCCAAAAGTGCATTCATCTTTGCCATGTTACATTCATTTAGTTGACTAGTGCTATACGCTGTATTAACAAAAACATTAATGGCATAAATAAAAACACACTGACAAGCTACGCAATATCACGTTCATAATCGAATGCGACTCATCTGCGATTATGAACACGATATTGCAGTGATCTACGGCTCTGTGTATTAAATGCCAAAGATTTATTATAAAATTTTATTATTTTTTCCCCAAAATGCAATAAATCATCCATGACACGTTTTTTTTTTTTTTTTAATGCAATAAATCCATTGAATCAATATCAAATTTATTTTTCATATTGAAACTGTTGAAAATACACAACATAGTAAGTTGATCCACATATGACAGCCTCTGAACTTGGTCAATACTAATCTTATATACAGGCACTGGACTAAAAATACATTCAATCAGTCATCGTTCCCAAAATGAATTCAACGGGTAATCTTGTTAATGCTATAAATTAATTACAACAATAAAAGAAAATTTCATCATGAACATAGGCTACATGAACAAGGATATCACATTAGACCACAGAAATTCCAAAATGACATTTCCCTTACATTCAACTTCCAAAAGTGCATTAATCTTTGCCATGTTACATTCATTTAGTTGACTAGTGCTATAGCATTAGTATTGTACGCTGTACAATAATTAGTACGCTGTATTAACAAAAACATTAATGGCATTAATAAAAACACTTACACTGACAAGCTACGCAATATCACGTTCATAATCGAATGCGACTCATCTGCGATTATGAACGCGATATTGCAATGATCTACGGCTCTGTGTATTAAATGCCGCTCCATCTGACTCAAAATGGCGTTTAGGAACCAAACTCTTCATATATATATATATATATATATATATATATATAATAAATGTTTTTATTTTTTGTAGCCAAGCACAATAACAGCATTCCTTTTCTACTGTCGTTGTGCTTCAGCACAATGGAGCGTTTCTTGTCTGCTTTTGTTTCATCTGCAAGCACAGTGAAATGAAGTGTGGATATTCTTTATGCTAACAGTGTTTGGGTCTATGGCAGTTTGAAAATACTGAACGACATTCCGAAAACATTAATATTTTCAGAGAGCCCAGAGCAATATTCATTCTACCAAATTATAGGCTATAGACAAGATGACTGTTTCAATCCCATATACAACTAAAAGCCTATTGCTATTTACATGTATTGCCTTAGGATATAGGTTAAACCATTGTTGTCTAAATAATGTTCAGTGCTCTGGAAATTCTCCCATGTGTGATAAAATAGCTTGAACTCGAAAGTCAACATGGTACACTTGACAAGGACTTTTGGAGGACTTCTACAAGACTTGATTAAGTAAATAAACAACTAGCTAGTTAAATAAATAAAAACACAAGTTGATCATTTTGACAAGTTTTTTCGATCACCACAAAGACAAAGATATGGTTGCATCAAATTGCCTGCAATACACTGCATGAAAATTCTGTCAAATTTTGTATGTGCATATTAACAGCCATAGTATTTTACTGTGATTAAAAAAAAACATAATAAAATGCATTGACATGATAGTTTTTTAGACTTTGTAAGTTTAATTTTACCCTCCTAACTTTTATGAGGTACAGAACATATAGGTGCAATCTATAACTGTACAGTAAATAATGAACTTTAAAACAAAAGCTATTGCACTTATCTGTTGAACACATCACCCAACACCACTGTGACATCTCTTGTTTTTCAGTTTTAAAAGATGTATTAGTGAAAAGTTCATGCTGCTTAGCGAGGTCCAACAATCAGAGCAGTGTTACATGGAGTTGAGAAACACGAGGACAGTCTGCAGGCTCACAGTATGCAATATGCATGCAGGGGCCACTGAGAAGAGTACACATGAGAATCACAGTGATGTGTGTTGTCTTTCAAGGGTCTGAAAGAAAGAAATATGCGACCCACTCACAAAACAGATTCATGATGTATGAGTGATAATCATTTCATAAACATAATTTCAATTGTGTATTCATTTTACTGATTAAAAAAAGGATGAGCAAAAATAAATGCTAAATAGTCATGAGCTCCCATGACTCCCACCACTAACAAATATTTTTGACCAAAATCATGGTTTTGTTTGTTCTCTTGCAGCATGCCTATGTGACGCAGATTACAGACAAGTTCTGCAAAATGACCACAGACATCACCGGCCGTCTTCCACTCAATGTCTATGTCATCATTCTTGGGATAGGCCTCTTCATTTTCATATTGAGCATGATCTTCTGTTGCTACCTGTTCAGGTATCTTAAACTATATAGCAGTTAGTAGTTTCTACAGTGAAAGTGCTGTGGATATTTTCACAAAATAAAGATAAACAGCTGTATTAAACGTCACATGGCAAGTGTATTTATGTAGTATTTTATTTAATAGACAATGATAATTCATTGTCCTTTCCATAGGCATAATAAAGAAAATAAAAAATATAATAAAAGTTCATTTCAAATTATGAAAAAGGAAAAAACAGAAGTAAAAATTTAAATTTAAAATTAAGGAAAATGAATACATGTAATAAGCTGAATGCATTAATACAGTGCAACCAGTAAAGTACAGTACATCAAACTGCTGTAAAGAATGTGCGGGCAAACAATTTTTTTTAACGTATGCTACATTTTTTATATTTCACAGATTGAGGAGACAGGGCACACAAGAACAATATGGATATAATGAGGTGATTTATTTATAATTTTTTTAAAATGTATTTGTTATATATATATATATATACAGACACACACACACACACACACATATAATTTAAAATTAAGGAAAATGAATACATGTAATAAGCTGAATGCATTAATACAGTGCAACCAGTAAAGTACAGTACATCAAACTGCTGTAAAGAATGTGCGGGCAAACAATTTTTTTTAACGTATGCTACATTTTTTATATTTCACAGATTGAGGAGACAGGGCACACAAGAACAATATGGATATAATGAGGTGATTTATTTATAATTTTTTTAAAATGTATTTGTTATATATATATATATATACAGACACACACACACACACACACACATATACTAATTATAAATAATATTATTAATAATTAAACACCTTTTTTCTTACAGGTCATTCTAAAAGGTCCAGGGAAAAAATTGAGTCTTCTTGGAGTAAGGAAATGCCAAAACAATACCTTTAGTTCACTCTAACGTAAAATTCTGACATTTCTATAATTTACTCACCCTCATGTTATTTCAAACCTGTATGACTGACTTACTTCTGTAGAACACAAAACAGAATTTCAGGCTGAATATCCAAACTGATTTTTTCCCTTTATTTAAAAAAAGTAAAACAGGACTAACCATCAACTCTCATATTCCTTCTATAAAAAAGCACCTTGAACATTCTGCTGCATAATTAATTTTTTTGCTCCAGCAAGGTTTGGGATGACAGAGTGAGTAAGAATTTCAATTTTTAGCCAACCATCTACGTTATTGTATTAACAATGTTTGGAACTATTACAATTGTTTTAATTAGAAAATATAAATAATTCAATAAAATATAAATGAATTATAATATATATGTCTCTGTTTTTTTCTTCCATTCTCTTTCACTTTATAGCAGACCTGTGCAGTTTGCCTGGAAGAGTTTCGGAGCCGGGATGAACTAGGGGTTTGCCCCTGTTCTCATGCCTTCCACAAAAAGTAAGATCTTTTAGCATCTTGTCACACTACCCAACCTTTCTCATTATGTTTCTGTATTCTGAAAATAATTTATATAAAAATAAACACTGATTGATGCTTTTACAATATGAACATTTAAAACAACACATTCCTTCAAAAACATTCAAGCATCTAGATTCCTGACACACCGAATGTTATTAGAGGCACTAAAACAAGAACCACAAATGAAGCTGTCAAGGCATTGCAACTGAATTATGAGAATTAGCTTTGAGTAACACCTGTCAGACTTTTCCTTATTCGAAAACATCCTTCAGTTTCAGCCTGTCGTCTTGTGACATGGCCATAATGCATAAAAGCGCTCGAGTCTATAGATAGCTGCTGCATAACAGACCCATCTCTCCTCTTTTCACTTTGTCTCCTGCTAAGGTGTCTGGTGAAGTGGCTGGAAATTCGCAGCGTCTGCCCCATGTGCAACAAGCCCATCTGCAGGCTCCAGCCAGACCCTCCGCAGGGGGCCGAGGGGCCCCAGAACCCCCTGGAAGTGTGACAGAAGAGGGACGACGCTGCTCAGAGATAGACAGCCTCTCGTACACCTAAGAACAGCGTTAAAAAACACCACACTACTGGGGTGGGCGGACTAGTCCCAAATACACAACAACCGCCCCTGTCCACCAATCACCAGATTTCTCCTGCATAGATGGGGGGAGGGAGGGGAAGTGGGATTTTCCCAGTAGAACTGAACTGATGTGCCGTATTCTTGGTCATAATGTAGCTTGCAGCAAGATAAATTGATGCCTTGTGGACTCCAAACAGACAAATATTCAGACCAGGACAGTTGCACACAACATGAGGTCTGAACTGACACTGTGCAATATGTGTGAATTTAAAGAAGTCCTCCTCTAAGATAGACTGTGGTCACTATTACTACCATAAAGGGTCGTGTTTAGGAAGGCCCAGTTACAGAATCCAAAGTGAGGAGCAGCTCACTGGCTGACCTTAAGGATCTGTGAGCTCATCGGATGTTACTCTTGCCAATATTTTGATGTTTGACACTCATAAATGTGTTTGTTTAGAGTCACGTAGGTGTTCTGAGTGCTAAAGGTAGCTCATGGCCTTGATGAGAACCCACACTGTAATGCAGAACCCTCAGAGTCAGATTGGATGAAATTTGGCCTAATTTACTGTAAGTTATTGAAGGTGGATGTTTTGTACTATATATTGCTCTCAATAAAAGTTTCTGTGATGGAACCAGTTTTTGTGTTCATTCACTATGTAAAATAATGTCAAATTTCCATAAATAGAAAACATCTTTATTTTAAAGGATTAGCAATTTATTGCTAACAATAAATTGCAAATGACTCATTTGAAGATATGATCAGCATGTTTCAGTGAGGTCATCTGAAACTATATATATATATATAAATACACACACACACACACACACACACATATATACTTTATATATACACACACACAATTGTTCAAAAGTGTGGGGTCAATAGGATTTTTTAAAGAAATCAATACTTTTATTTAGCAAGGATGCATATTAAATTGAACAAAAGTGGCATTTAATGCAATTATGTTACAAAAGATTTCTGTTGCAAATAAATACTGTTCTTTTCAACTTCCTATTCATCAAATAATCAAGAAAAAATTTATTGCTGTTTCCACAAAAATAATCAGCACAGCTTAGATAATAATGGAAAATTAAGCAAATAATCATATTAGAATGATTTCTGAAGGATCGTGTGGCACTGAAGACTGCAGTAATGGCTGCTGAAAATTCAGCTTTGCCATCACAGGAATAAATTACTTTTTTAAATGTATGAAAATAGAAAACTCTTTTTTATGAATTGTAATAATATTTCACATTATTACTGTTTTTACTGCATTTTTGATTGTACAATTAACACTTTGGTGAGCCTAAGCAATTTCTTTCAAAAACATAAAAAAAAATTGTTTATATATGACAGTCGGTCGTATTCAGAGGGAACATTACTGAAGATACCTTTCTAACCCAAGAAATGGCCTGTTGATGTTACCTAATGTAGTCAGGTTGTTTCAGCATTTTACTGTGTACATTTCCCTTTAAATCCTATCCTTCCTAGAACAGTCTTCATGACTCAGTGCAAAGCAACAAATAGGAACTCATGACTTGGGTGATAACTGAATTATCTTGTTTGAATTGCTCAGAATTTCATATTTGTTGTGATCATTCCTAGTCCACAAGTCTACAAAACACAGTGATGAAAGTCTTGTTATTCTAAAAGCTATGCTGGTGAGCTTCCATAATCTTTGTGACCCAGTATTGCTAGAAGCAGATGAGGAACACAGGGACAGTTTCTCTGAGTGTGACAAGCACCCTTTTTAAAAGGGTAGAATAATATTTCTGAGCTGTACAGACGTACTTGCTAACATATGGTGTGTATCTGCTGCAACATGTTACTTGAGGATGTCTGACACATTGGCAGGCTAAATGTTGCCTATGAAAGTGATAATATACACAAGACTAACTTCACAGCTATGTCAAGATATTAGCATTTTATATGCATAATCACTGGCTTTGCTTTATGGACTGTCATCACACGTTAGCATGTAATTACAATGCTATGATTTACACTAGCTAACCGCATGTAGTGACTCACACAGCAATAAAAAACAAAAAAGGTTCACTTTCCGGTGCTCAAACGGAACACTTCTGTGAGTTCCTCTGACTGCCTGCGAATAGTCAAAATAGAACCTTCTCATCTCTGCTTAAATAGTCTACTCATGAGGGAATTTTTATCTCATCAAGGAGGAAATGGAGTATTTCACTAAATGATTAAATTAGATCTTGTTTATGTAGTAAAATGAATTAAAGCAAATGAAAACAAATTACCTTTAGTAACAGATTACTTGGGTGTCTTTTGGGCGAGCATTGCTGTCTCTGTTTTCATTGTGCTTATGGCGGTTTTACAATTAAACGCGGCGAAAATGCATTTACAAAAGCGTAAACTGAGCACCACCTGGAGGTCAGAATCATGTCTGACAATATTCGGTCACCGCGTCATCAAGTTTCTAAATCATAAAAAAGAAAAAAAGCATGGACAAAAATCAGATACAACATAAAGTATTTATTTGTGTTTATTTTCATAAGAAACCAATCTTCTGAACAAAAAATAAATGAGAATATCAAAAAAAAAAAAAAAAAAATAAAAAAAAAAAAACGTTAAAAAA